GAGGATTTGCAGGGTGAGCTCTTCTGCATCACGTGACAGCAGTGGATGCACATTGTCTCAGCTGCCAAAGCCACAGAGTGTGGGAGGCCCAGAGGTGGAGTTTTGTGACACTGAGATACTGAGGTGGGCTCCTCAGCTGCAACAGGGGCTGTGATGGGGGGCATGGGCTAGCTCTGCACTTTCTGCTCCGTGTTGGTGTGAATCGAAAACTGCTTTGAAGAATTAAGTCTGTCAGAAAAAGAAACGAAAAAGTAATAACGAATGTCAGGATAGGACCGGCAGGGGGCGCTCTCCCAGGACTCTTCTGGGTCCCAGCCCACCCTCTTTCTTTCCCTTCCTGGATCTGTCCCTCCACCTTCTCAACACTCTGTCCTTCTCTTTCCCATTCTTCTTTGGGGGAAAAAAGAATGGAACAGGGACAAAGTTTGGCAGTTCAGATGTCTGAGTTTGATAAAGAGATAGGAGCCGGGCGTGGTGGCACCTGTCATCCCAGCACTCAGCAAACTGAGGCAGGAAGATCACTGTGAGTTCCAGGACAGCCTAGGCTACTTAGTGAGCCTGAACTACACAGCAAGACCCTGCCTCAAGAAAAATAAAAAATAAAGAGATAGGAGCCGGGCATGGTGGTGCACTCCTGTAATCCCAGCACTCGGGAGGCTGAAGCAGGAGGATTCCAGTGAGTTCCAGGCCAGCCTGGGCTACATACTGAGTTTAATGACAGCTTCAATTACACAGTGAGACCCTGTCTCAAAAACAAAAACAAAGAACAAAAAACAACAGAGAAAGAGAGAGAGGTTCTCTGGCTGCCATAGCAGAGTCATGGATTGGCCATACCTTTGCTGCAGAATGGCAGCTGGCGTTGTACAGAGCTTCGGGGCTCCAGAGCTTAGGTGTCAGAAGGAAGAGCTCTAACATCTTCCCTATGCTTTGAGGACGCTCCTAGGCCATTGCTTTAGTCACTTTCTCATAGCTGGGGCACGGTGTGTGACTTAAATGTAAAGGAGGAGAGTTTTACTGCCTCACAGTTCCTAGCGCTTTCGGTGGTGCTAGCTCGGAGGCAGGGTGGCGGTCAGGGGGCCTGGCGGAAGAAAAGCTGCTCACCTCATGGTGCACAGGAAGTGGAGGGAGAAGTGAAGTGGGGGAGGGAGGTAAACTGCCAGGCCACGCCCCCAGGAACCCGCCCCCTCTGACAGGCCCCACCTCCACACCAGAAGTCAGCTGTGAGCCCCGTGCATCCCAGTCGCCTTCCACAGCCCTGCCTGTGGGTAGATGAAGCTTCCGGGGGACATCCAGATCCTGAGACTCCCGGGGAGGACGCGTGTAAATGCCGCACTTATGGATCGGGGTGCCCCTATGCAACCACTGTGTTTATCCTTCGGGGACCAGGGATTCTGTAACTCGTTTAATTCCTCTCTCCATGGTGATGACAGGAGGCTCTGGCCACCTCCCGTCGCTTTCTCAGCAAGGTCCTGGACTTGCGTCTTCTCCTATGGCTTCACCTTCCCCGTCTACGTGCGTCTCATTTCACACAGTGTGTCTCGCTACAGCTGTTGCATCTTTATAAGTGGCCTTAGATTCTCTTGGGAGAAGACAGAGGACAGGGAAATAAGCAAAATAAACACGTGTGGAGAGGAAAGTCCAAAAAAAGAGGGCTCTGTACGGGCGTAGACAGCGCCACTGATGCGACTGTCTCAGGTCCCCGCTGTACCCGGCAGTCCTGGGGTGGGATGAACACTGCAGCGCACGCGAGCCGTGCCCAAGCCCTGGGGCCCAGGGGTCCTCGGAGCAGACAGTAAAGCGAGAATTTAAGGAGGTCTTTGCCAGCTTGTTTGTTAAAGGAGCTTAGATTTTCCTACAGGAGAAAAAGGCAAGGGACCCCAATGAAGCCATTCCCAGAGGACAAAAGCAGAGAGAGGTGACACGAAGCCAAGCTGGCATCCTCAGGGGAAAGTGGGCAGTGCCAGGCAGAAAGGACAAAAAAAAAAAAAAAAGCATTTTTGGAAAAGTGAGCTTATGAGCTGTCCAAGCCCGGGTCACAGGCTCCCGGCTAAGGGGCCGGATTCTCTGTCTGCAGATGAATTGAAGGAAATTTGCAATAAGGAAAAATACACCCATCTGAAAAGAAATCCAGTTCAGAAGGTCAGCCCAGCCCGAACAACACCGCGGGAGCAGGAATGCGGCTCAGGGAACCGTGCCAGTCTTCGCCCCGAGCACCAGTCTGTTCTGTCCAAAGTGCATACGGTTCACATTGATTTTGGTGCTGGAAAGTCTACAGAGGACCTTGGGGGGAAAAACCCTCAACAGCCAGGAATCCTCCAGAAACTGGACTCTGTACAGCTGCAAGATAGGTCCCTCTTACTACGTTAGCGACTAGCAAGGTCTCCAACCTGCGGCCAAGGGGGTAGGGGACCTGCAGGGAGCCGCACCTTGAGAATCCCTTAGGGGACAGTGGATGCTGGGAGGTCAAGGCCAGTGTGGACTACCAGTGATACCCTCTCTCCAAAAAAAAAAAAAATAATAAAAGAAAGAAAGAAAGGAAAGAGCTGGGCGTGGCGGTGCACACCTGTAATCTCAGCACTTGGGAGGCTGAGGCAGGAGGATCGTTGTGAGTTTGAGACCAGCCTGGGCTACAAAGTGAGCTCAAGGCCAGTCTGAATTGCTTAGCGAGACGCTGTCTCAAGAACACACACACACACACACACACACACACACACACACACACACAAAGGAGGACAGGAAGAAAGAGAAAAAGAATGTGTTTTAAGTGAGTGGTACTGAGTATTGCGGTGTTCCTAACCGTCCGGAGAGTTTGAGGTCATCTTTATCTTTACTTTCTGCACCACTCTTGGTGGATTCAGCGGCTTCCCCTCCTCTTCCCTAGGCAGGCAGTGTGGTGCAGAAGGGCAGCAAACGCCTAGGGAAAGCTGCCCGTGTGCAAAAGGCAAAGACAAAGGACGAAAGCCGCGCTTTGCACTCCGCTGGCGTGGTCTGTGCTTCCAGTGCACCACCCCGAGTTTTCTGATTTTTTCCAACGTTCTAAAATAACAGAGATAACTCGCACAATGGGCCCCCCGCTCCCTCACACTCTCTCCTTATCTTTCCCCCTCCAGAGCCACAGACATCAGGTTCTTTCATACAACCCCTGAGAAGAAAAAAGAGGGAGAAAAAAATCCCTTTGGCCGCTCGGGCTCCCCGCCGCCCCAGGAGGGGACCGGGCCCTATCTGATGTCTCAGCTGGCAGAGGGGGTGGCAGATCCCTTCCAGCAGGGTGGCGACTTCCTCCCACTGGCCCGGCACACGCCCCCTCCCAACGGCCCCACAAAGGGAGCTGCCTGGCCCAGCAGGGCGTCAGCACATGCCCAGTCCCTTCCTGTTCCTCTACACCCAGCGGCCCGGGATGGCACGGAGCTCTGCGTGGGGCCTGGTAACCCAGGCGTGGCCTCTCTCTCATCTGTTGCCCACTGGGTTCATCTTCCAAACCAACCGCCTGCAGCGAGCTTCCTGAAATGCAATCTAATCATGATCTTGTCCCACCCGCTTAATCACCGCTGTGGCCTCTGGCGCCCAGCCTGCGGTCTGCTCATGGTTAGCTACAAAGAATCATCTCTTTTTTGGGGGGAGGAACAAGATCTTGCTATGTAGTCCAGGGTGGCATGAAACTCAAGATCCTCCTGCTTCAGCCTCCTGAGTCGCAGGGATAGAGGCACACACCACCGCGCCTGGCAGCAAGAATCACTTATTTAGGTGCAGATTCTGGAGTATATGTCAAGATTCTTTCGGTGGCCGGGGCCGGAATCTCATCTCAGGATAGAGTGCAGAAGGGAAGCCGTTATTCCCTCCTACTTGGAAGTCAGAGGTAGAACTGCGGAGGGCTCTCGATTATTCCTGTGGGATTTTGGTTTCCATGCAGGGCGTGGAACCCGGGGCCTCACATGCGATGGGCGAATGCCACATCGGCGGCATGGGGTAGGCCGGGGAAGTGAGCAGGATCAGCTGCTTCGTGGCCGCCCGGCCGTCTGGTTCCTGGCTTTGGGTTGGGTTAAGGCAAGGGAAGCGCTGGCTTGGGGCACGAGTCCACGGTCAGCGAAGGGACCATGACTTCTGAGCAGGAGCTGGGCTGCAGGGGACGCGCTGTGCATTCACGACGGCCGCCGGGTTGATCTGGAACCGAGAGAACAAGCCTCCCCGCCGGGACGCCCCCGCCGCTGCGGGAGACAGTCACCACTTCCGGTCACAAGAGGCGGCCGAGCGTGTGACTCACGCTGGCGCAGACCTCGAGCAGATGTCCGCGTGAAGGACACGCTGCTCTCTAAGACAGGGCAGAAAAAGAGAAAATAAGCTCATTGGTGATTTTTCTTCTCTATTAATTACATGGTTTTGGTTTTTTAAATCAGATTTTATTGGTACATTTTAGATATACATACTGATCACATTCATCATAGAGAATATGTGCCAGTAAGACGTTGACATACAGTTTGGGCTATATTAGATTAACTAAGATATAGCATAAAAATTAATTCTACCTTTTTTTTTTTTTGTCTTTTTGAGACAGGGTCTCGCTATGCAGTTCAGGCTAGCCTCGAACTCGAAATGATCCTCCTGCCTCAGCCTCCCAAGTGCTGGGATTACAGGTGTGTGCCACCACACCTGGCAACCTTTTTGTTTTTTGAGACACCATCTCGCTGTGCAGTTCAGGCTGGACTTGAACTTGCTATGTAGCCCAGCCTGGCCTTGAAGCAGCAGTGATTCTCCTGCCTCAGCCTCTCGAGGGCTGGGATTACAGGAGTGCGCCACCACGAGGTGCTGATGGTGTTTTTGACCTTGGTGGAAGTGCTCGAGCTGCTTTTGCACCTAGGACCTCTACAGTGAACTCTGAATAGCAGGAGAGCTCATCAGAGCCGCTCTGCTCGGTAACAAAGGGAGCAGAAAATGCTCTGAGAAGTGGGCTGCTGGTTTCATCTTCCGTCAGGAAAGCGCTCCGCATCACCCGCTGCTCCCAGCACAGCAATCTCTGTCCAATAAAAACACCCACCACGTCCCCCAGACCTGGCACCATGTAATTCTGCGATTTTCCCCAAATCAGAACGAAGAGCCTCAGGACGCTTGGTCCTTAGGTGAGGTCAGACCCCGCTCATGCACGGGGGAACGGCGAGATTGGCTCTGGTCCACGAGCATGAATCCAGGGTTCATTACAATTTCGGTTCGCAGCCCCTTCCATGACCCAGGAAATCAAATCTGCTCTTACCAGATGCTGAGGGCCCCAGGCACACCCAGGTCGGAGAAACACTGCTGGCTGCACATCCTCCCCGAAAGCCCCTAAAATCTGTGGTGTGGTTTGCAGTGAGGCAAAACACACAGTCCCGGCTTTGGGACGGCCAGCTTCGCCCCAGTTTTTTTTTTTTTTTCTTTTTTGAGACAGGGTCTCGCTGTGTAGTTCAGGCTGGCCTTGAGCTCACTTTGTAGCCCAGGCTGGCCTCGAACTCGCAACAGAAATATCTTGGTAAGAAAGCAAAAGGAAGATCCCAGCAGCCCTGGCCCAGGTCCCACCACTGGCAATCTGGGTGACCTCGGGGAGCCCCTGAACCTCCCTTCCTCTGGGTACTTCAGCATCCAGAGAGCAGAGGACACATCCGCGGAGAGGCCGTAGCCAGAACCATCTTGCCTGTGAGGGGTGGAAGCTTTTTGGACCGGATGATCCCTGCAGCGGATTTTCAGAGAACTAAACTCTTTTGAGGAACCCACTTAGGGCTGGGTTCCAGCTGTGCTCCCCGGGAATAGGTGACAGAGATAGAAACCTCGTCAGGAGGTCAGGAGCCATCGAACAAGAGCTTGCATTCTCAACTGGTCTTCAAAGGCCCTTTTAAGTGTGGAAGCTCGTGGTTTCACACCGTCCTAACATGAAAAGGAACCAGAGAATCCCAAGGTCAGCTGGCCCTTCTGTGCGACACTCGCTTTCCAGAAGGCAAGCAGCTATTCTATTCTTAAAGGTCTAGGTTTATAAAAGAGTTGCTTTCAAATGTTTTCACTACCAAAAGCTAAGTATGTGGGGTAGTGAATTTATTAATTAGTTTGATTTAACCAATTCACTCTGTAAATATATATACATCAAAGCATCCAATTGTACCCTCTAAGTATATGTAATATTATGTATCATTTAAAAATAAAATTAAAAGCCAGGCATGGTGGTGCATGTGTATAATCCCAGCACTCAGGAGGCTGAGACAGGAGGATCAAAAACCAGCCTGGGCTACATAGCGAGACTTTGTTTTTAAAAAAAAATTAAATTAAAACCGGACATGGTGGCACATGCCTGTAAACCCAGCACTCGGGAGGCTGAGGCAGGAGGATTGTTGCAAGTTTGAGGCCAGCCTGGGCTACAAAGTGAGCTCAAAGTCAGCTTGAATTGCATAGAGAAACCCTGTCTCATACTGAACATTTTTTTTATCCTTTTTTTTTTTCTTTTCTTTTTTTGGTACCAGGAATCGAACTTAGGACCTTACGCTTGCCAGGCAGGCACTTGTGCCACTGAGCTATATCCCCGGCCTGAGACCCTGTCTCAAAAAGACAAAAAGGCAAAAAAATAAAATAAAATTAGAGCTGGGTGTGGTGGTGCGCACCTTGTTAGCCCAGCACTCTGGGAGGCTGAGGCAGCAGGAGGATTGAAAGTTTGGGCCCAGCCTATATAGTTAAGCAATTTGCGGAGACCCTGTCTCAAAAACAATAAAAAGGGCTGGGGATGCAGCTCATGCGAAGGAGCGGGTTCAATACCCAGGACTGGAAACCGAAACCAAAAACCGAAAACGCTCAGTGAAGGAAGGGCCGCGCTAGGAGAGCTCCTGCAATGCGGCGATTTGCGCGTGAGTTCTAGGAACGCCATCGCCTCCCGTGGAGGGGCCCGGCCCGAGTCCCCACGCCCACAACCCGAGGTCGCAGCCACGGAAGCTGGAAGCCTCCTGGTGGGCGACACAGGCTTGCAGAAGGGCGGCCAGCTTCCAGCTGCCCGTTCCTCCCTGTACCTGGGCCGGGTGGAGCAGGTGGCCGGGGGTCCCAGCTGGCCGCCTGGCGCATCTGCCGTCACTGGCTGTCCTTCTAAGCAGAACTGAGATCTCAGCTGTGCAGTCAACTGTGCCGACCCAGAGTTCTCATTTCCTGTTTCTTGTAAGGAAAAGGTCCTCCTCTCTCACGAGGGGAAAGTGAGTGCTGAGCGGCTCTGGCTGCGGTGAGGGCTCTGCTCACACCTGTGCTTGCTTGCTTTTCTTCTTAGCTGCTTTCTTTCTCTCGTCTTTTTGAAAAAAGGGTGTTTCACTATGCAGTTCAGGCTGGCCTTGAACTCACTTTGTAGCCCAGGCTGGCCTCAGACTTGCAGTGATCCTCCTGCCTCAGCCTCCTGAGTGCTGGGATGACAGGCATGCACCACCACGCCTGGTCTCTCTTTTCTTTTCTTTTTCTCTCTTCTCTCTTCTGTCTTCTCTCTCTCTCTTCTTTCTTCTAGAGGAGGACAGCCAGTCATCTCATGATGGCCCGGAAGCAGAGAGACCAGCCTAAGCCTAAGTAAGAGACACACGGGCCCTGCAGCCATCTCCTCTTACCAGGCCGCACCCCCTAAAGGCACACTGAACCCCGGACTCATCAGCGTGTTAATCCACTCTTGAGTATAGCACCCCCTGGACTCCATCGATTGGAAACCCCACCTTGAGCACCTGAGATCCTGGGGGGATGTTTCAGACTGCAACCACAGCAAGGAGCTCAGAGACGTCATCTCATCCGACACTCTCCTCAACTGTTCACTTAGGAGACTCCACCCGCTGTGGGCGGCGGAAGGGCCTGGCGGAGCAGAGCTGCTCGGTTCGGGAAGCAGGCAGGGGACACACCGGGGAGGAAGGCGTGAGGGCCCAGGAGTGCTGCGGTTCCACGACCCCCTCAGCCACGCCAAACTGACGCCATCAAAGGATCCCTGTGACAGCCATACAAAATGAAAATAGGGGCTCCTCTTTCAGAGAGTGTTCGGAATGTCAAGATAACAGGGCCTCTGCCAGGTCCAGAAGCGCTCGGCGATGATCACGCACCCGCCATGGCTTGAGTCTCACAGCCGAGCACGGGCCCGGCTGCTGCCATTGGAGGCGGGCCCGGAAGGCGGTCTGGGTTCTCTGCCTGGCCTGCTCAGGCTGGGGACCCTGAAACTCCCAGGGACCTTTGCCCCTGAGCTCCACAGGGATCCGCAGCAGTCAGGGCGCCCCTGGGCATCGAAGAGGATGTCACCACGTTTTACCAGATGCCCCCCAACTTGGCAGTTTCTAGTGTCTCTGGTGGACTCAGAGCAGAGCAAAGTTTATTTTACTAGGGTCCGAGGGAGGCAGGAAAGGTGCTTGTGCAGAAGTCCCCGGAAGGCAAACACGACAACGACATTCTTTCCTGCTGTTTCCAGGACGCGCGGGCACCGGAGTCTCAGTCTGCACCCCACACGGCGTCCCGTACCTTCCCACACTCCAGCAGCTCTCTCCGGAATGGCCTTGATTCAGGGAGCCAGGGCCAGGGAAAGGGGAGGAGGGCAGGACAGAGGACAGCCCCTGAGGGGTGGCTGAGTGACAGGGGTGCTGGAAGTCACCCCGGGAAATGCAGCACCGCATCACCACCAACTCAGTCAGCCCAAGCCTGTCGTTAAACACAATATCAGGCCGGGTGTGGAGGCGCACCATGTCATCCTAGCACTTGGGAGGCTGAGGCAGGAGGATGGCTGTGAATTTGAGGCCAGCCTGGGCTACAAAGTGCGTTCAAGACCAGTCTGAACTGCAGAGTGAGACCCCGTCTCCAAAACACAAAACAATACAAAACAAGCAAAGCAACCCCAAAACATTGTCATGGTGACTGTGCCTTGAACTGAATTTATTTTTGAAGACGGAATATACTCTTTTTCGTTTGTTTGAGACAGAGTCTCGCTGTGTAGTCCAAACTGGCCTTGAACTCACTCTGGAGCCCAGGCTGGCCTCGAGCTTGCTGGGATGACGGGCACCACGCCCAGCTCGTGGAGGTAATATATCCTTATGGTTCAAAGCCCAGATTACACAGATCATCTTCTGCATTCTCAAGTAATCCAGCTTCCCTCCCTGAAGCCATCATAACTAGTTTTTTGGGGTACCCTGGCAGAAATATTGTTTATATAAACAGCAAATATGTACACCCCCGCTTTTAGACCAATGACAGCATACTTTGACTCCGCTCTGTGCCTTGTTGATTGGCTTTACGGATCCAGGGACGCCTGGCGTGGTCTTTGAAATCCCAGCGCTTTGGAGGCTGAGGCAGAGGGATCGCCGGAAGTTTGAGGCCGGCCCGAGATGCTGTCTCAGAAACAGAACCAAACAAAAATCTCTCCAGGGAATCTCACACAGGGGGCGGGAGAGCGCCCTCAGCCCCCGCCAGGTTTGCACACGTCCCCTGTGATGCGCATGCGTCACGGTTCCTGTCAGCATGTGGGCAGCTGGGTTTCTGCCTTTTGCTGCGTGGGCGGTGGTTCGAGGCGTAACCGAGGACTGAGGAGGCTCGGAGCCTCTCCTGGTTCCTTCGAGGAGACCGTGAGACTCACGCCTGTGTTCTCACTCGGGGGTTCCACACGCGGGTCACACACTTCCCAGACGCCCTGGCACAACCTCGGGGCGCGCAAAGGTGATCTGCACGGCCTGCTCCTGCGGGGCTGCGGTATTGCTTGTGTCAGGGGAGGAAACCCACAATCAGGAATCCAAAAGAGCTGGGCTTGGTGGCGCATTCCTGTAACCCTGGCTCCTCGGGAGGCTGAGGCAGGGGGACCTCAAGTTTGAGCCCTGCCTAGGCAACTTAGTGACTTAGCAGGACCCTGTCTTGAAATTTAAAAAAAAAAAGAAGACTCTGCTTTCTAATCTGCTATTTTGGGTCCTATTTTTACCAGAATGATTAAACAAAGGGGAAGCCTCAGAGGCCCAAGGAAGCCTGACAGGGCGGAGGAACAGGCAGAGAGGAGCGTGTGAGGTCGCGATAAAAATAAAGTCGCAGCAGAGTCCAGCCAGGCAGCTGCTGCCACACAGGCGCGACGCGGAGTCTTGGGGGACCGGGCGTCAGGAGGGCACCGGAGTTCGAATCACCTCCCCGGCCCTGCCCAGCGCCCTGACTTCGGAGAGGAAGAAATGCCGCCGAAAGGGCTCCAGAATTTTTTTCCTGGAAAGAGGCGGGGCAGAGGCTGCAGCCCGGCCGCGCCTCCTCTTGCGGCTCGGGCCGGGCGTGGGCTTCTGGGTGCAGCGGGCAGGCCTGGAAGGCGAGCAGGTCCCACTCTCCCTGCCAGCCGCTTCCCGGGGCCCTGGGCCGGGCGCAGGCAAGGACGGAGGAGAGCGGGTTCCTCCCGGAGCCCTCAGACCCCCTCCTGCAGAGCTCTCGGCGCTGCCTGGCCCACAGCAAGAGCCATCTGCCGTGCGGAGCTCCTACGCACTTGTCGTGTGGCTGCCCCGCGCCGTGATGGCGATCGTCTGTCATCCCAGCACTCTGGGAGGCTGAGGCAGGAGGATGCCAAGCTTGAGGCCAGCCTGGGCAACTTAGGGATTTAGCGAGACCCTATCTCAAATCAAGAAATAAAAAAGGGCGAAGTCGTAGCTCAGTGTGGATACCTGGGGCTCAGTCTCTAGTACTGAGAAAACAAAACAACCCCGCGCTCCAAAGGAACTCCAAATGAGATGAGCTGTAGGTATAAAATGTACCCTGGTTTCAAAGGCTTTCAAAATTAACAGTTTTGAATTGTGGTGGCGCACACCTGTAAGCCCAGCTTGGGAGGCTGGGACAGGAAGATCGTCATGAGTTCGAGGCCCGCCTGGGCTACACGGTGAGTTCAGGGCCAGCCTGAACTGCATAGCGGGACCCTGTCTCAGAAAACTAAAACAGAAAAAAATAAAAAAACTCTGAAGGTAACAATTTCCACTTGAGCCTGGGCCTGCCTGTGGGGTCTTGGGATATAAATTGGGAGAGGCTGCTAGTTTAAAATTTTATTTTGGTGCCGGGGATTTAGCTCAGTGGCACAGGCGCCTGCCTGGCAAGTGCGGGGTCCTGAGTTTGACCAGGAATTGAACTCAGAACTCAGGAACTTGCCCTTGCCAGGCGTCTTCTTTGGTTTTTAATTTTTTTGTCAAAAACCTTATTTGATGCATGCAGGGAGAATGGGTATGGAAGAAACCAGCTCTTCAGTGCAAACTTGGGCAGAACAAAGAGAAGACGAGGGTAAAAGCAGAAATGAAAGTACATGCCAGGGCTGAGAAATGTGGTACAGGCCGCCACCCAAACGCAGGTGAGCGCAAGAGCCACTGTTTTGGTTTTTTGAGACAAGGTCTCTCTACGCAGCCCAGCCTGGCCTTGAGCTCACTGTGTAGCCCAGACTGGCTTTGAACTCGAGGTGATTCTCCTGCCTCAGCCTCCCCAGTACTGGAATTACAGGCATGCGCCACCATGCCCGGCTAAATATTTTAAGAAATTCATCATTTTTTTGGGTCAGCAACAGAAATCTAGGCGTCTTGGGAAGAAGAGGTTCTGTCACGTTTGCAGTGCTAGGGGATGGGCCCTGCAGCTGGAGAGGAACCCTTGAGGAAGGGCTTGATGTTCTTCCTCACTTACTCAGAAGCTCCCCCTGGGGCGCTTGGCCGTGAGTGTGTCTGAGGGCTGTGCATCCCGCGGGAGGCGAGCAGACGCTGCTGTCAGAGCACGGCGTGCACCTGGTTGGGAGCCAGAAAGACAGTTCAAATCCCCGTGAGGAGCCAGCTGTGCACTTTGGGAGGCTGAGGCAGGAGGATTGCAAGTTTGAGCCCCGCTTGGGCAATTTAGCAGCTTAGTGAGACCCTGTCTCAAAATAAAAAATAAAAAAAAAGAAAAAGCGCTGGCGATATAGCTCTGTGTGAAGGTGCTGGGTTCAGTCCCTAGTATGGAGGAAAAAAACTACTAGAAATGCAAGACTGTGAGCAGCTGTCAGGCCTTCGTGACGAGGAGAAATGGGAGGCACGTTGGGGTTCGGTGGCCCCCGAGGCTTCGCTCAGAGGTGACGTCGAGGCCACCCATGGGCGGTGACAGAGTGGCCCTGGAGGGCCCCGGAGGAGCAGGTGCTGTCCCTGCAG